AGTGGAAAATCGCGGCCTCGGGTAATCGGGGGGGAGCTTCGATGTTACCTCCCCCGTTTTCCCCCTTTTTGGGTTTGCTTACAGGAACCAAAAATTACACTCTGCTGTTCCTCTCCCATCTCATGCTTAATTTATTTTTATTCTTCGATCCTTTTCCCATGGGACCTTTAATAAAATGCCCCCCTCTACCACTGTTTTTCCGTACCCACATTTGTTGTACTTCGCTGCATTACACGCAGCCCTATCCACTTGCTAGGTGGTAACGCTCTGTTCTTTATATCTCCTCCTTCTCGGGCATTTTCATTCCCGGGTATTGCCTTTCTTGTTTTGCCATTACCACCACCGATTCTGTTACTTGGTGATTTTAATGCCCCATTTCCTCTGGGGGGGCCCCACGCGTTCCGGGAAATTTAGTTAGAGGGTTTCTTTCCACCCCCCCCCTCCCTGTTTTAAAAACAGGTACTCACACCCCTTTTGATCCTCGGACTCACACTTCTCTTTCACGATCTCTCAGTTGCTCTTCCTCCGCCCATTAGACTTCCCTTGGGCTGTTCTTCCGGACTTACATGACGCGATCATTTCCCAAACTTCTTACTTCCCTTCATATTCACCACCTCTTCGCATCCCCCCCGGCAATTTGATAGGGAAAATTGGAACCTTTACTCACACCTAACTGTTTTAGAGAGGTTTTCCTTTTTCGCCCCCCATCGATGAGCTTTTTAAACCCCTTCTCGCCTCCGCTTTAAAACCCCAGCTTTTCATTTTATACACCAAACTTGGGCAGGCTTCTCAAAAATGCGTCCCTTTGGGTGGTCTCCTTTTGTGTCGTGCGTACGTTTGAAACGCGCTGCATGGGGCAGGTACCGGTACAATAGAACCACAGAGAGACTTCTTGAATTTAAGCAGAAGCGTGCGATCGCTCACCGTGTCATCCGTGACGCTAAACGCACTTGCTGGCGAGATTATGTATCCACCATCACCTCTGCTTCCTCTATGAGTGCAGTCTGGAAAAAAGTACGAAAACTGAGTGGTAAATGTTCTCCTGACCCGGCTCCTGTTCTGCGGGTTGCCGGTGTTGATATAGCAAACCCACTAGATGTTGCCAATGAAATTGGCAATCATCTGGTCCGTATTTCTCAGGGACTCCATCTATGCCCCTCATTTCTTTCCTCAAAGTCTGCCAGAGAGTTAGCACCCTTGGACTTTTCTTCTCTCAGAGAAGAACAGTATAATGTGCCTTTTACACTTCAAGAACTGGAGGCAACACACTCAGCTTGCCGATCATCGGCAGCTGGGCCCGACGACATTCATATTCTTATGCTACAACATTTACATCAGTCAGCCCTTGCAGTCCTATTATGCCTTTACAATCTTATTTGGTCACAAGGAGTTCTTCCACAGCTGTGGAAATCCGTCATTGTTCTCCCTTTCTGCAAACCAGGCATTACGGGACATGAAACCTCCCACTATCGTCCCATTGCTCTTACCAGTGCAGTTTGCAAAGTGATGGAACGCCTAGTAAATAGATGTTTAGTGTGGTATTTAGAGAGAGACAACAGTCTCTCCACTCGTCAATATGGCTTTCGTAAGAGACGTTCTACCATAGACCCCTTACTACGCTTGGATACGTATGTTCGTAATGCCTTTGCGAATAACCACTCGGTTATTGCCATATTTTTTGACCTTGAGAAGGCATATGACACAACTTGGAGGTATAATATTTTAGCCCAAGCCCACTCCTTAGGCCTTCGAGGCAATCTACCATCCTTCCTTAAGAACTTTTTAACTGACAGGCATTTCCGTGTTCGGGTTAATAATGTGCTCTCCCCGGACTTTATCCAAGCTGAAGGTGTCCCCCAGGGATGTGTTCTGAGCACAACACTTTTTCTCCTTGCTATTAATGATTTGGCCTCTAGTTTTCCATCAAATATTTGGTCATCACTCTATGTCGATGACTTCGCTATTGCCTGTGCAGGCGCTGACTGTCACCTTATTACAGTTTCTCTCCAGCATGCAGTCGACCGTGTTTCCAATTGGGCCACCACACATGGGTTTAAATTTTCCAGCACTAAAACCCACCAAATTACTTTTACTAGACGCTCTGTCATCTCCGATCATCCTTTGTACCTCTATGGCTCCCGTATCCCTGAACGTGATAGTCAAGTTTCTGGGCCTCCTCTTTGATCGTAGGTTATCCTGGAAACCTCACATTACCTCTCCGAAGGCAACTTGCCACAGCCGGCTGAACCTCCTTAAAACCCTTGCTCATCTTTCATGGGGAGCTGATCGTCGAACCCTCCTTCGCCTACATTCCACCCTTATCTTATCGAAACTTGATTATGGTGACCAGATCTATTCAGCGGCATCTCCTGCTACTCTCTCTAGCCTTAACCCCATTCATCACCAAGAATTACGTTTATGCCTTGGTGCTTTCCGCTCTTCCCCTGTCGAGAGCCTCTATGCAGAAGCAAATGTTCCATCCTTATCTGATCGCCGTGATGCCCATTGCCTTCGCTACTATGTACGCTCTCATGATCTCTGTAATCCTTCCATTTATAGAATGGTCACTGATATTAGTAGACATTCTTTATTTGTTCGCCGCCCCTGTTTACTCCGTCCCTTCTCTCTTCGCCTTCATTTGCTCTTGTCTTCTCTTCAACTACCACCTTTCTATGTACATGTAGCATCTCACTTTTCCCTACCCCCCTGGGAAGTTCCAGCTGTTCGAGTCTGTTCTTTCTCCCTTGCTCGAAAGCCCAACTGTCTACAGTCGCTTCCCGCTCTCATTTTCTTGACCACTTTCACTCTCATGCCATTGCTGTGTACACAGATGGCTCTAAGTCTTCTGACGGCGTAGGATTCGCAGCAGTGTTTCCAGACAGCGTCGTACAAGGGCATTTACTATCTTCGGCTAGTATTTTTACTGCTGAATTGTATGCCATCCTTACAGCACTTATCCGTATTGCATCTATGCCTGTGTCATCATTTGTGGTTGTCTCAGACTCCCTTAGTGCTTTACAGGCTATACAGAAATTTGATACACCTCACCCCTTAGTCCTCCGTATCCAACTTTGGCTACGCCGCATCTTTACCAAGCATAAAGATATTGTTTTTTGTTGGGTCCCTGGTCATGTTGACGTACAGGGCAATGAACAGGCAGACACTGCTGCGCGGTCAGCAGTACATGACCTGCCAGTTTCATGTAGAGGTATTCCATTTACGGACTATTTTGCTGCAATATCTTCCCAACTTCATACCCGTTGGCAACAACGTTGGTCTACTATGCTCGGCAACAAACTTCAATCTATTAAACCGAGTATAGGTTACTGGCCGTCTTCTTATCACCAGTGTCGAGGTTGGGAGACTACTCTCTCCCGTCTTCGCATTGGCCATACTCGTCTTACTCATGGATATCTCATGGAGAGGCGCGCTGCTCCTCTCTGTGAGAATTGCCAAGTTCCATTATCAGTCAGCCACATTCTGTTGGAATGTCCACTTTATCAACGAGCACGCAGAATTTACCTCCGTCGTCGTCTTCGCTCTGCTGCTCTCTCTTTACCTTCCCTTCTTGCTGATGGACCCACCTTTCATCCAGACTCTCTCATTGACTTTTTGACAACAACTGACTTACTTCACAAATTCTGATACCTTCAGCCCTTTTTACTTCAATCTCTTGCTACCCCCTGCCCCACTGTTTTCTGTAACCTACTGATCATCCCTCCTCCCTTCTGCCATCCAATACCCTCGCTTCCTTCCCTACCCTGCAGCGCTGTATAGCCCTTGTGGCTTAGCGCTTCTTTTTTGATTATTATTATAATCTAAATGACCAAACCACCTCAACAGCCCTTTTGACTGATACTTTTAGTAACTCCACACCTAATTTCCACTACAAATTCTCTGCATAATATTTACACCAGACATTGCCCTTAAACACATCTCCAGCTGCTGCCTTGCTGCAGCATTTACAACCCAAGCTTTACACCTGTAGGTGTGTGCTGGTACTGCTATACTTTTGCCTCCATGGATGACATTCTTTGTCTCCAGATACCTCAACGCACCACTCGCTTGTTTTCCTTCGTGAATTCCGTGGTTTACCTCATCCTTCATAAACCCATCCACTGGCAAGTCAACTCCCAAATACCTGAAAACATTCACTTCCATACTCCCTCCAATGTGACATCCAATTTTTCTTTATCTAAATTGTTTGATACCCTCATTATGTACTCTTATCTATATTCACTTTAAACTTTCTACCTTTACACACCCTCCCAAATTCATCCATTAACCTTGCAACTTTTCCTTAGAATCCCTCAGAAGTGCACTATCATCAGCAAAAAGTAATTGTGTAAACTCCCATTTTGTTTGATTCCCCACAATTTAATCCCACCCCTCTGCCCAACATTCTAGCATTTATAACCCCATCTATTAAATATGTTAAACAATGGTGACATTACACATCCCTAAGACCTACTTTTACTGGGAAGTAATCTCCCTCTCTCCTACACACCCTAACCAGAGCCTCACTATACTCTTAAAAACTCTACAGCATTTAGTAACTTGCTACCTATTCCATACACATGCCACATTGCTCCCCTATCAATCATATGCCTTTTCTAAATCCATAACTGCAGTGAAAACTTTCCTACCTTTAAATACTGTTCACATATATACTTCGATATAAACACCTGATCTACCCATTCTAAAGCCTCTTTGCTCATCTGCAATCCAGCTGTCTTACCTCTTGATTCCTTCAATAATACCCCTGCCATACACTGTACCTGGTATACTTGGTAAACTTATTCCCCTATAATTTTTACAATCTCTTTTGGCTCCCTTTACCTTTATATAAAGGAACTATACACTGCCAATCCCTAGGTACCTTCCCTCTAAACAAAAATACCAACCACTCCAACACTATCTCCCCTTACTGAGGAGAGTTCTACAGTGTCTTCTGTTGAGGTTAAGCAGTTTGAGAGACAATGTCAATGATAGATATGTAATATACTCTTTATTAAACATTTATTAAATATTAATGCAACCCAATCTGGGAACTTTCAATCACTTGAGTAATCAATAGCTCAGTATACATGGATGATAATTTCTATAGTCATGATTTGCCTCTGAATGATACAGCAACATTTTAATACATAAATCATGCTTTGTTTTATGTTGCCATTAGGCCAAAGGTAAAATACAAATCTGGCAAATAGCCAGAAACTAAAAAGGATTGGTAGTATTATGTAAATATATATATTTTCATGAAATCTTAACTTGTATGGATGAAAGGACATCTTTAATGGCTACATTTCAGTCCTGGGACCTTGTTCCCTCTAAATGATACAAGAGAATGACAGAACACAGTATAAGTAGAGAAAGCATCTCACTGGAGAGGTGTCATGTTAGCTAATTGCCAAGTTGCATGGCAGCTGGGAATCAGCATGGAATAGTATATGCAAGGGTATTGCCAGCTCTGTTTCATGGTGTTGGAAGCAGCACTTAAGGGGGGCTTCAATACAAAAACATTATCAGTGTTGAATACTCTTTAAGAATTTTGTTTCAGTGAATGAGATCTGTGCAAGACCAGTATTTTTTATATTACAGTTGCATGCATTTGTGTGTTCTTTTCACACATGTCCATTAACACAAATGCATGAAACCAGAACAAAAATGCTTGCATCTTGGACAGGCCTATAGAGGGATGTCCCATATACTAAGCACTAAACCCACAAGGGTCTGGGATGTCTCATGCACTGGAACAAAGTGAAACTGATCTACCTAGACACCTACATTGATAGATGCCACTGTACTTAAACATCCTTAACCCTTAAACTGTCCAACCAGATCTACATTCACATGCGTAGTGCTCCAAAAGTAGATCTACGTTTTTTTACATATTTTCAAATATAAAAAAAAAATTAAGATCAAAGTTTTTATTACACGTTTTCAAAAGTAAAAAAAAAAAAAACAAAAGATTACGTTTTCTTACATTCAAATGTTGAAAAAACGTAGATCTACATTTGGACAGTTTAAAGGGTTAATGGCTACTTCCAACACCACAGAACAAAGACCTGGTAAATACATCATCTTGCCTACTCTTATACATAATGTATTTCACACTGATACTCTGCTGGCATGCAATAAACCAATTAATGACCTGATACCTTCACTAGTGGCATGCTTTATCTACTATATATATATAGTGCTTTCTCTTTTCATCTAGAGTGACTAAGGTGCAAAAGACCCAAAAATATATGCATGCATTTTTCTCCAAAATGTTATAACTTGATTTGTATAATTAGTGCCTCTCGCAAATTTCAGTCAAGATGCAAGCTTTCTTTCTTTCCCCATTTTTTCTAAAATACTGTATCCTGTGAACAAGAGATTAATCCTCTGGTGAATTTTTGTGTAATGCCATATGCATACTACTACAGCCCTTGAAAATGGAATAAACTATATAATTCACTAAAATAATATATTGTGCACAATGTTATCCTTTTCATATAAGAAAATATTCCTCTCTTAGCCATTATGAAAGACATGTATACCTTGAAAAAATACCCAGATACCTGTTGAAATGTGTACCAAGTATTTTTTATTAAGAGAACTGATGACAACATGCACTGAACACGATGTAATCACCATAAAGATTATGTTCATTTTTAGTTTCATGCAAGATATTGTAGAAGCAAGCAAATAATTGAATATACTCTGACAGTTTTGTAATATGTATTACACTAAACCCTACTCATTTACACACTTATCACAACGGTTACAATTGGTTGCGCTGCTTAAGGGCTGATTCCACTTAGCGATGGCTTCATTGTGCATTCATTAAAATGTTTTATAACAAAACAATATGTATCTAATGATAAATCACTATACTCAACTTATTGCACATTTAACAACCATAATTTTCAAAAAACCATTCACATAAATTTTTTGCTTTAGTATACTGTATTAGAATGCAAATACAAGTTTTACATTAAACACTTTGAAGACATTTTCAGGTTATAACCCATTTTGAAACTTTAAAATAAATTTTACATGTAGTATGGACATTTCACAATACATCTGAAAAGAGCAAATTTAAAACTAGATTTTGCAGTTTATCCTGGATTAGCATTTAGTTGTGACTGATTCAGAATGGCAGTTATTTTTCCATTTCCAATATGTAGACTAGTGAATTGTTAAAGCTATGGAATTATGACATTTTACCAGTAATGTTATCCTTTTACTTGTGAAGAATGTAAGCACTTCAATATTTCAACTGTCTCATGTCCCACCTATGCATAGTGCCACCTGCAAAACACACTGGTGGTAATGAAACTAAACATACAACCTATGGACTAGTAAATGAAAACAATGTGATCTTTTATCATAAAATATAAAAGCAAGTTTGAATCCTCACTGTCAAATTCCACACCAATCTAATAAAAATCTATACATTCCTTCAGAAGAATATACATGTGCATCATTCAAATACTATGTTTATTAAAATATACATATAGGCAAATACATTCATATTGTCATGCAAATTGTCACAAACCATCAATGCTATTAAGGAATTATAATTGGAATATTGTGTGTTTGAAGTACTGTACAGTAGAGTACCAGAATACTGTGCAATCCTGTACCATTTGTATCACTTTTCCTCTATACAGACAAAAATATAATTTTAATGAGTTATATTTGAATGCTGATAATTGTCGTGTTACCACAATTACTATACAGTACTGAAAGTTTACAGAATATATCTTGCACAACTCTCCCACTAATAAACAATGTAAGTTTTGTTACAAAACATGACTACTCCAGAACGGTATCAGTGAGCAAGACCTCATCTTCTGTTGTCTGACGGCGAAACTTTGTATGTGATACCAGGTATACCACCAGCCCACCGAAGAGAATGAGGGCCAGGCCTATCACATTAACTAAGATACCTTCTGTAGGAAGTGCAGAATACTTGGGCTTTCTGAAAATAGTTAAGTATGATTTAATTACTTTTCAATTTATGAGATTAAATAATATACAGGAAAGGAAGATTTGAAAGAATTTAAATGTTAAGCTAATGTAGGAAGAAAAGTCTTTGGACTGCATCACATAATTTGAAAAATAGTGTCCCCTCAAGGGAGGTTCTTTGATGCTGGAGAGGGGATCTTGATGCAAAGAACTGGACCTGTCAACCCTTTCCTTGGCTCAAACTTGAAAGCTTTCTATTCCCCCAGGCACTACATATTATTATCAACCAGGCACTATATAACCTTTACAGGTTGAGCACTTCCCCATGAATATAAAGCTAAATTACATCTGAAGGCCTCTTGATCAACTCTGTCATTCCCTAGAAGTTTTATGGCCTTAATGGATTTAAGACTTTACCTTTCCCAGAATTACGCTAATAGAGTTTAACACATATTCTTCCTCCATAAGCCGTGTATATCATAAAAGGCGACTAAAATGCTGGGAGCAAGGGGCTAATAACCCCTTCTGTATACAGTAGACTGTTATATTACACGGATTTATTTGCCAAGTTTTGGTTACTGCACTATTGAAAAATTGCGGCACAATTTTATACAATGCTGTAAAATTATCTTTACACGGTTCCATTTGCAGGAGCGGAAAAAAATTTCCCCAGCTCAAGCTGCCACCACCATCCCAGCCTTCATGAATACGTGTTCAGTTTCATTCTGTCTTAGGAGCTACCTGTGTTTGTGAATTGAATTTTTATCTTTTAATTACCATATATAATATCTGCCAAGTAATCATGGCACCCAGAAGGCATACCAGTGTTGCTGAAAGTGGCAAGAAAAAGTATAAGCATTTAGGTATTTTAGACTAAGAGATAGCCTGTGGCCATAATGAAGCATCACTTTGTGCAATTAAAAAGAATGAGGTAAATACAGTGGACCCCCGGTTAACGATATTTTTTCACTCCAGAAGTATGTTCAGGTGCCAGTACTGACCGAATTTGTTCCCATAAGAAATATTGTGAAGTAGATTAGTCCATTTCAGACCCCCAAACATACACGTACAAACGCACTTACATAAATACACTTACATAATTGGTCGCATTCGGAGGTAATCGTTATGCGGGGGTCCACTGTATATGAGTTTGTGATGATGAATAACTGACTGACTTAAAGTTAGACTTTTTCACTGAAGAGGACCATGAAACGGTGTCTAGAGCAGCTGCCTTACCATCAGTTTTATAATGTACTGGGGAGTAAAATAGAACAGAAATCCATTACAGAATTTATGCACACTTCAGTACCAGAACCTCTACCATCCACCTCAGCCCAGTAGGGCCACAGCATAACTCCACAATAATCCACAAGCACCTACATTTAAGGTAAGCCATACTATTATTTCTGTTGCATTTGTAGTCTTTAACAGTAAAAAACAACATAATACATCATGACAATGAAGCACAATTATATATTCACTTAAAAAGTTGTTTGGCTTTTCTGGGGCTCCCAGGAACATAACCCTAATTTTCCCATAAGTTCTTCAGTTTAGCTAACACGGATTTACCTAACACGGTGTTTTCAGGAACATAACTATTGTGTAATACAACAGTCTACAGTATATTACTAAATTTAAAGGGAGAAACTAGCATTTTTCTTTTTGAGCCACCCTGCCTCAGTGGGATACGGCCAGTGTGTTGAAACCAGTAGTAGTTTAATACATAAACAAGCACTTCGTTGCCTGGTGGCAAAAGCTCTTGCTTCACATGGTGAGGGACCTGGTTCAATTCCCAGTGAGGGTTGAAACACTGGGCGTGTTTCCTTACACCGGTTGTCTGTGTTACTCCATTAGTAAAATGAGTACCTGGATGTTCGTCAACCAGTGTGGGTCACATCCCAGGACAAAACTGATCTAATTTGCCCAATATGATCTGCATAACAAGTGGCTTTCTATATAGTAATACGTCACTGATGTCAGCTAGGCCTGTATACCCTGTACATGTACTTGTAGAAATAAAGATATTAAGTTTTCACTTGCACAAAAATTGGCAAGGGGAGTTCTTTAGAAAATGTATCTTTCTCCAGGCATTTCACTGACTTTAAAAAGTTTTACCCAAGACCACCATGATAAGATGATTAACTATGCTTGTGTGTGTCACAATTAGATTTCTTTCAATATCCTGTAAACCACATCCATACAATACCTTAACTAATAAATAATGTATATTCTTCTTCTTTCAACGTGCCAGCCATATCCCAAGGAGGTGGGGGTGGCCCCAAAGGAAAAACGAAAGTTTCTCCTTTACTAAATTTAAATGTATACAGGAGAAGGGGTTACTAGCCCCCTTGCTCCCAAATAATGTATATATTACATGGTACTTAACAAGTAAAAGTTTTTTTTTTTTTTCTCAACAAGTCGGCAGTCTCCCACCGAGGCAGGGTGACCCAAAAAAGAAAGAAAATCCCCAAAAAGAAAATGCTTTCATCATCATTCAACACTTTCACCACACTCACACATAATCACTGTTTTTGCAGAGGTGCTCAGAATACAACAGTTTAGAAGCATACACATAAACATACACAACATATCCCTCCAAACTGCCAATATCCCAAACTCCTCCTTTAAAGTGCAGGCATTGTACTTCCCATTTCCAGGACTCAAGTCCGACTATATGAAAATAACCGGTTTCCCTGAATCCCTTCACTAAATATTACCCTGCTCACACTCCAACAGATCGTCAGGTCCCAAGTACCATTCGTCTCCATTCACTCCTATCTAACATGCTCACGCACGCTTGCTGGAAGTCCAAGCCCCTTGCCCACAAAACCTCCTTTACCCCCTCTCTCCAACCCTTTCGAGGACGACCCCTACCTCGCCTTCCTTCCCCTATAGATTTATATGCTTTCCATGTCATTCTACTTTGATCCATTCTCTCTAAATGACCAAACCACCTCAACAACCCCTCTTCTGCCCTCTGACTAATACTTTTATTAACTCCACACCTTTTCCTAATTTCCACACTCCGAATTTTCTGCATAATATTTACACCACACATTGCCCTTAGACAGGACATCTCCACTGCCTCCAACCGTCTCCTCGCTGCTGCATTTACCACCCAAGCTTCACACTCATATAAGAGTGTTGGTACTACTATACTTTCATACATTCCCTTCTTTGCCTCCATAGATAACGTTTTTTTGACTCCACATGCACCACTCACCTTTTTTCCCCTCATCAATTCTATGATTAACCTCATCCTTCATAAATCCATCCGCCGACACGTCAACTCCCAAGTATCTGAAAACATTCACTTCTTCCATACTCCTCCTCCCCAATTTGATATCCAATTTTTCTTTATCTAAATCATTTGATACCCTCATCACCTTACTCTTTTCTATGTTCACTTTCAACTTTCTGCCTTTACACACATTCCCAAACTCATCCACTAACCTTTGCAATTTTTCTTTAGAATCTCCCATAAGCACAGTATCATCAGCAAAAAGTAACTGTGTTAATTCCCATTTTGAATTTGATTTCCCATAATTTAATCCCACCCCTCTCCCGAACACCCTAGCATTTACTTCTTTTACAACCCCATCTATAAATATATTAAACAACCATGGTGACATTACACATCCCTGTCTAAGACCTACTTTTACCGGGAAGTAGTCTCCCTCTCTTCTACACACCCTAACCTGAGCCTCACTATCCTCATAAAAACTCTTTACAGCATTTAGTAACTTACCACCTATTCCATATACTTGCAACATCTGCCACAATGCTTCCCTATCCACTCTGTCATATGCCTTTTCTAAATCCATAAATGCAATAAAAACTTCCCTACCTTTATCTAAATACTGTTCACATATATGCTTCAATGTAAACACTTGATCTACACATCCCCTACCCACTCTGAAACCTCCTTGCTCATCTGCAATCCTACATTCTGTCTTACCTCTAATTCTTTCAATAATAACCCTACCGTACACTTTTCCTGGTATACTCAATAAACTTATTCCTCTATAATTCTCTTTTGTCCCCTTTCCCTTTATATAAAGGGACTATACATGCTCCACCAATCCCTAGGTACCTTCCCCTCTTTCATACATTTATTAAACAAAAGTACCAACCACTCCAACACTATATCCCCCCCCCCCCTGCTTTTAACATTTCTGTCATGATCCCATCAGTTCCAGCTGCTTTACCCCCTTTCATTCTACGTAATGCCTTGCATACCTCCCCCACACTTACATTCTGCTCTTCTTCACTCCTAAAAGATGGTATACCTCCCTAACCAGTGCATGAAATTACTGCCTCCCTTTCTTCCTCAACATTTAAAAGTTCCTCAAAATATTCTCGCCATCTACCTAATACCTCCCTCTCCCCATCTACTAACTCCCCTACTCTGTTTTTAACTGACAAATCCATACTTTCCCTAGGCTTTCTTAACTTGTTTAACTCACTCCAAAATTTTTTCTTATTTTCATTAAAATTTCTTGACAGTGCCTCTCCCACTCTATCATCTGCTCTCCTTTTGCACTCTCTCACCACTCTCTTCACCTTTCTTTTACTCTCCATATACTCTGCTTTCCTTTTAACACTTCTGCTTTGTAAAAACCTCTCATAAGCTACCTTTTTCTCTTTTATCACACCCTTTACTTCATCATTCCACCAATCACTCCTCTTTCCACCTGCCCCCACCCTCCTATAACCACAAACTTCTGCCCCACATTCTAATACTGCATTTTTAAAACTATTCCAACCCTCTTCAACCCCCCCACTTCTCATCTTTGCACTAGCCCACCTTTCTACCAACGGTTGCTTATATCTCCCCCGAACTTCCTCCTCCCTTAGTTTATACACTTTCACCTCCCTCTTACTTGTTGTTGCCACCTTCCTCTTTTCCCATCTACCTCTTACTCTAACTGTAGCTACAACTAAATAATGATCCGATATATCAGCTGCCCCTCTATAAACATGTACATCCTGGAGCCTACCCATCAACCTTTTATCCACCAATACATAATCTAACAAACTACTTTCATTACGTGCTACATCATACCTTGTATATTTATCCTCTTTTTCATAAAATATGTATTATTTATTACCAAATCTCTTTCTACACATAGCTCAATTAAAGGCTCCCCATTTACATTTACCCCTGGCATCCCAAATTTACCTACTACTCCCTCCATAACATTTTTACCCACTTTAGCATTGAAATCCCCAACCACCATTACTCTCACACTTGATTCAAAGCTCCCCCACGCATTCACTCAACATTTCCCAAAATCTCTCTCTCTCCTCTACGCTTCTTTCTTCTCCAGGTGCATACACGCTTACTATAACCCACTTTTCACATCCAATCTTTATTTTACTCCACATAATCCTTGAATTAATACATTTATAGTCCCTCTTTTCCTACCATAGCTTATCCTTCAACATTATTGCTACTCCTTCTTTAGCTCTAACTATTTGAAACCCCTGACTTAATCCCATTTATTCCTCTCCATTGAAACTCTCCCACCCCCTTCAGCTTCATTTCACTTAAAGCCAGGACATCCAGCTTCTCATTTATAACATCCACAATCATCTTTCTTATCATTTGCACAACATCCACGCACATTCAGACTTCCCACTTTGACAATTTTCTTCTTCTTCCGTAAAAGGTACAAACGCATATATACGTTCAGTACCCCAGTGCCCCAAATATTTTGAAAAAAAAAAAAAAAAATTTATTGAAAAAAAAATAGCACATTTTTCTAAGTGTTATAGGATAAAAAAAAAAAAATTAGTCAGCATTTACCGAGATATGAGGCCGCAAAGTTGGCACTTGGGGATCACCTGACGGCAACATGGAGCGCTGCCGCTTATTTTTATATAATTTTCATGTTCTGATAATTACAGTTTCATAAATCTTTTTCTGACACTAGTATTCGACACTGAAATTGTACTCACATTAATCAAATCAAAGTTTATTCTCTATAAGGATTACAATGCGGGGTTTACAGATTTTGGTTATTGTGTGGTTTACATGTAATAAAATACTAATTACAGAGGGGGCCACTTTGTCACAAACACATTGACAGGTGGACATTTACACCTGCCTTAGTCATTTACTATTGTCTTGGAATATATACAAAGTATTTATATGTCCCAGCAATGTTTTGGATATGTGGAAGTATATGAAGAGGAAGAGGGGGAAGAGAAGGAGAAGAATAAGGAGGAGGAGAAGTAATAATAATAAAATAATAAGTTCTCTTGAAGCATGAAAAACAAAGTCCACCCCTGACAGTGACATGATAAGTGGAGATAACATCTGATAAGAGCTGATGTTTGATGAGCTTAAACGAGGGTGGGGGAGGGTGCAGCTGATGAGAAAAGATTAGATGACCATCCCCCTAGCTTTGTTTTTGCTGGTACACAAACATTTCTGTCTGTATTTGTCTGTCTGTCAAGCTCCTTGTCTATCTGTCTAGCTCTGTCTCAGAGAGCCACAAGACTGCATCATCACCTTTACTCACATCTTCAAGTGGAGTATAGCACTCTGTCTGGATTTTTTGGGTTATCCTAGGTAATTTACACTATGTATACTTGTATTTGTGTGTACCTGTAAGACACAGATACACAGACAAAGAGAGAGAGAGAGAGAGAGAGAGAGACAGAGATAGACAGATACAGACAAACGGAAATAGAGCCAAGCCGCCGGTCAGCCACACAGCTGGCCAGCCAGCCAATCAGTCAGGCAGCCAGCCAGCCAGAATTGTTTCTCTTGACTTAGGGCATAGGTTATAAGACATTCTGAAAGGGTGTTGTACAAATATTGCACATGGGTTATTATCGAGGTTTTTTGATATTTCCTCGACCACTTGTGGCCACATCCACCTCGAAGCCACTAAACTCAGGGTCAAAATCACTTTCCTCTTAAAATGAAAGTGTTAATACTACATGACATCAGTGAATCCCAGGTGTTTGCTGCACTGTTTGCTATACCTGGCACTCATTTGAACTGGTGCTCCCACAAGGTACTAAGTGGTCCCAGATTTTTTTAATACCGCACACACTGAGTGTTAGGACCCATTCTATGCTGACAAGGCATCTCAGGCCAATCGTGCCAAATTTGAAGGCAGGAAAAATAAAACGTACATAAGTTTGGGGCACTAGCGGTAAAAACATACATATACGTTTGGACCGTTTACAGGTTAAAATATGCATTATACTTACATAGAAAAAATGGCTTTTTCAGTAAGACCTAAAAGGCAGGATGCCACAGCTCCAACAAAAATGAATAGGCCAAAGAACTGATGGATAGGCAGGTACGCAGCTCTTACAGATGGGCGTAAACCAGGGAAGAGGAATGTCAGTAATCCTACCAGCCACTGAAAACAAAAATTAATACTTTTTTTTATGCAAGACAAAATGACAAGATAATAAATACATAGAAAATAATCTGGTTACATTCATCATACCTTTGCTATTCTCTGAATAATTTTTTTCAGTTGTCTTCCTCTGTCCTTTATTTCCATAGTTTTATGATATTTTCTGGTATTTCAACAAACATGATTAAGAAAATGGATTAAGTTGAGAAAAACGAACCTGAAGTACTGTATACCAAATCTGCATTTTAATTAAAACCTGATACCTTGAGCAATGCTACTACTCAGCAATAATTTAAGAATATAAGGTACAGTATATAAAATTCAACCAAATTTTTTTTTAACTCAATGGCCCTCTCCCACTGAGATAGGGATCCCAAAAAAACTTTCACCATCATTCACACTATTACTGTCTACAGGTGCCCAGATACAACAGTTTAGATGTCACTAAACAGCAAATATCCTAAACCCCTCCTTTAAAGTGTAGTGTGCTGGGAAAAGGCCATTCAATAAAACCCTAGTTGAGCTATACTATTAATCAATCTTGCTAAGAGGAGGGAAGGGGCAGGCCATGATGTTTAAGGGCTCTTGATCCAAGAAATTAAAGATACACTGCACCTATGGGTTTGAATGACTCCCCTTTTCCTTGGATCAAACCTGATTAGCTCATTGATAAGTTGTCATATGACCCCTCTAAAAGATTATTACTTACTCGTGAATATAAATATTTAGTTATGCAGTTGGCTGTCAGTTAACACAAGAGTTACATTCATGAAAAATGTATATTTAATCTTGCACCTCTCCCAAACACTTATTTATGTACATGGGGTTGTAAAAGATGTAAAACAACCATTGTGACACCACACATCCTTGTCCAAGGCCTAGTTTTACTGGAAAATAATCTCCCCCTCTCTCCTACACCCTAACATGAGCCTCATAAAAGCTTTTAACTGCTTTCATTAACTAACCATCTTTTTCTATACACTTGCAATATCTGCCAAATTGCTCCTCTATCCACTATCAAATGCTTTTTATAAATCCTTAAATGCAATGACTAACTTGTGCTACTAGGTCAGTTGCCATGCTCCTTCCTTATTGAATGTGACCTGACCTGACTACCTTAAGGTATTCGCTCAAGCCAGTGGAGGAATTGAACCTGCCTCACATGGGCCAGTAGGCCTGCTGCATTATTATTATAATCAAAAAGAAGCGCTAAGCCACAAGGGCTATACAGCGCTGCAGGGTAGGGAAGGAAGCAAGGGAATTGGATGGTAGAAGGGAGGGGGGATGATCAGCAGGTTACAGAAAACAGCGGGGCAGGGGATAGTACGGGGGTAGAAGGTAGCAAGAGATTGAAGTAGAAAGGGCTGAAGGTATCAGAATTTGTGAAGTCAGTCAGTCGTTGTCAAAAAGTCAATGAGAGAGTCCGGATGAAAGGTGGGTCCATCAGCGAGAAGGGAAGGTAAAGAGAGAGCAGCGGAGCGAAAACGACGACAGAGGTAAATTCTGCGTGCTCGTTGATAAAGTGGGCAGTCCAACAGAATGCGGCTGACTGATAATGGAGCTTGGCAATTCTCACAGAGAGGAGCAAGACGCCTCTCCATGAGATATCCATGAGTAAGACGAGTATGGCCAATGCGAAGATGGGAGAGAGTAGTCTCCCAACCTCGACACTGGTGATAAGAAGACGGCCAGTAACCTATACTCGGTTTAATAGACTGAAGTTTGTTGCCGAGCATAGTAGACCAACGTTGTTGCCAACGGGTGTGAAGGTGGGAAGATATTGCAGCAAAATAGTCCGTAAATGGAATACCTCTATAAGAAACTGGAGGTCATGTACTGCTGACCGCGCAGCAGTGTCTGCCTGTTCATTGCCGTTATTACGTCAACATGACCAGGGACCCAACAAAAAACAATATCTTTATGCTTGGTAAAGATGCGGCGTAGCCAAAGTTGGATACGGAGGATTAAGGGGTGAGGTGTATCAAATTTTTGTATAGCCTGTAAAGCACTAAGGGAGTCTGAGACAACCACAAATGATGACACAGGCATAGATGCAATACGGATAAGTGCTGTAAGGATGGCATATAATTCAGCAGTAAAAATACTAGCCAAGATAGTAAATGCCCTTGTACGACGCTGTCCGGAAACACTGCTGCGAATCCTACGCCGTCAGAAGACTTAGAGCCATCTGTGTACACAGCAATGGCATGAGAATGAGAGTGAAAGTGGTCAAGAAAAAGAGAGCGGGAAGCGACCGTAGACAGTTGGGCTTTCGAGCAAGGGAGGGAGAAAGAACAGACTCGAACAGCTGGAACTTCCCAGGGGGGTAGGGAAAAGTGAGATGCTACATGTACATAGAAAGGTGGTAGTTGAAGAGAAGACAAGAGCGAATGAAGGCGAAGAGAGAAGGGACGGAGTAAACAGGGCCGGCGAACAAATAAAAAATGTCTACTAATATCGGGGACCATTCTATAAATGGAAGGATTGCGGAGTCAGAGAGCGTACATAGTAGCGCACCCCCGGGGCATCACGGCGATCGGATAAGGGAGGAACTTTGCTTCTGCATAGAGGCTCTGGGACAGGGGAAGGCGGAAACACCAAGGCATAAACTAACCCCTTGGTCATGAATGGGGTTAGGCTAGAGAGAGTAGCAGGAGATCCCCACTGAATAGTTGGTCACCATAATAAATTTTCGAAAAAATAAGGGTGGAATGTAGCGAAGGAGGGTTCGACGATCGCCCCCACAAAAGTGAGCAAGGGTTTTAAGAAGGTTCACCGGCTGTGACAATTTGCCTTCGGGAAGGTAATGTGAGGTTTCCAGGAAAACCTACGATCAAGAGGAGGCCCCAAAAAACTTGACTTATCACGTTCAGGGATACGGGAGCCATAGGGTACAAAGGTGATGGGGAGTGACAGGGGTCTAGTGAAAGGTTTTGGGTGGGTTTTAGTGCGGGAAAAATTTAAACCCACGTGTGGTGGCCCAATGGAAACACGGTCGACTGCATGTTGGAGAGAACTGTAAGGAGGTGACAGTCAGCGCCTGCACGGCAATAGAAAAGTCATCAACATAGGTGATGACCAAATATTTGATGGAAGATAGGGCCAAATCATTAAAGCAAGGAGAAAAAGTGTTGTGTCAGAAAACATCCCTGGGGGACACCTTCAGCTTGGAAAAAAGTCCGGGGGGGAGAGCACTTTATTAACCCGAACACGGAAATCCCTGTCATTTAAAAAGTTTTTAAAGGAAAGGAGGGTAGATTCCCTCGAAGGCCTAAGGAGGGGGCTTGGGCAAAAAATATTATCCCTCCAATTTGGGGTTCATATGCCTTCTAAAGGTCAAAAAATATGGCAATAACTGAGTGGTTATTCGCAAAGGCTTTAGAACATAGTATCCAAGCGTATTTGAAGGGGGGGTCTAGGGTAGAACGCCCCTTACGAAAGCCATATTGAAAAGTGGAAGACTTTGTGTGCCCTTAAATCCAACTAAACGTCATTTACTAGGTTCCATTACTTGCAAACTGCATTTTAAAGAGCAATGGGACGGTAGTGGGGGGGTTTTCTTTCCCCGTAGTGCCTGGTTTGCGGAAAAGGGAGAACAATGGCGGTTTTTCCCAAGCTGTGGAAGAACTCTTGTGACCAAATAAGATTTGTAAAGGGTAATGGACTGCAAGGGCTGAGATGTAAATTTTGTGCATACGAATAAAATGTGGGGGGCCCCAGCTGCCAAATATCAAAGCTGAGAGTGTTGCCTCCAGTTTTGAATTTTAAAAAAGGCACTTAATTTTTCTTCTCTGGGGAAAAGAAAAGTCCAAGGGTGCTAACTCTTGGCGGACTTTGAGGAAAAAAATGATGGGCATAGATGGAGTCCTGAAAAAATACGGACCAGATGATTGCCAATTTCTTTGGGCAACATCTAGGGGTTTGCTTTAAACCCCGGCAACCCCCCCAGAAGGAAGGGGTCAGGAGAATTTTTACCACTCAGTTTTCACTTTTTTCCGGGGACGCATCATAGGGAAGCAGAGGTGATGGTGGAGACAAAATCTCGCCAGCAAGTGCGTTTAGCGTCACGGACACCGGCGAGCAATCGCACGTTTCTGTTTAAAATCAAGGATCGCTCGGGTTCTTTTGTACGGTACCTGCCCTGCAGCGCTTTTTAAAAACGTACTGCACGGCCAAGCAGGAGACCACCAAGGCAGCTTTTTCTGAGAATCCCCTGCCCGAATTTTGGGGGTTTATAGAATGAGAAGCTCCCCGGGGGAAAACGGGGGACGAGAAGAGGTGTAAAAGTCATCGATGGAGGAGAAAAAGGGAAACCCTCTTTAAAAACAGTTAGGTGTGAGTAAGGTTCCAATTTGCCCGTTTAAATTTGCCAGCGGGGGGGTGCGAAGAGGTGGCGAATATAAAGGGGAAGTAAAAATTTTGGATTGGGAAAGATCACGTAGTAAGTCGGGAGAAAAAAGACCAAGTAAAGTTAATGGGGGGAGGAAGAGCAAACTGAGAGATCATGCAAGAGGAGTATGAGTCTGAGGATAAAAATGGGTGTGAGTCCTGTATTTAAAACATGGAGGGGGGTGGGTGGCAAGGAAAACCCTTAACTAAATTTCCCCAAAGGGAAATCCAGTGAGACCCCCCCCAGGGGAAAATGGTGGGCATTAAAATCCCAAGTAACAAAATCGGTGGGGGGGGTAATGACGAAAAAAGGAAGGCAAAATCCGGAATAGATAATGCCTGAGAAGGGGAGAGAGATATAAGAACAGAGGTATACCACTATGTAAGGGGTACGGGCTGCTGTGTAATGCGCGAAGTATGAACAAATAGCTGTGGTACGGAATATCAGTGGGAAAAAAGGGCACTTTCTTTAAAAGGTCCCAAAAAAAAGGGATCTAAAAGAATACAAAAATTATACCCCGAGTTGTGAGAAATAACGAGGTGAAATTTTGGTTCCTTTTAAGCAAACCCCAAAAAGGGGAAAACTGGGAGGTAAAATCTGAGCTCCCCCG